GAAACTGAGCTTCGATGAAGTAAAAGGGTAAGAGTTGCTAAAGACTATGGGTCTGATTATGCGGCTCATAATATAGATGAAGATCCAATAAATCTTCAATAAGCCTTGTCATCTATGAATGCAAATTTATGGCAAGTAGTTATTACTGATGAGATAGAATCTCTATAATCTAATAAGACCTAGCAATTAGTAGGCTTGTCTCCTGATTGCAAACTAATCAGTTGTAAATGGATTTTGAAAAAAAAGAAATTAAAACCTGATGGAACAATGTACAAGGCTTTCCATGTAGCCAAAGGTTTTAGAAAAAGAGAAAATATAAATTTCTTCGATATTTTTTCTCAGTCACTCAGATTACATCCATTAGGATACTAATTTCAATATTCGCTATTTATAACTTAATAGTACATCAAATGGATGTTAAAATAATTTTTTTTAAAACGGTAACTTAGAAGAAGAAATATATATGGACCAACCAAAAGGGTTTAAAATTCTTGGGGCAAGAAAACAAGGTCTGTAAGTTAGATAATTCGTTGTATGGACTAAAATAAGCTCCAAAGCAACGACATGAAAAGTTTGATAACTTAATGATATCAAATGGGTACAAAGTGAACGAAAGTGACAAATGTGTTTATTACAAATTTGAGAATCACATTTTCACTATCACATGTCTATATGTAGACGATCTAGTCATATTTAGATCAAATATTCAGGCCGTTAATGATATGAAATCATTGTTGTGCAATAACTTTGATATGAAAGACCTCAGAGAAGCGAGTGTGATTCTTGATATCAAGATCACGAGATCCGAGCAAGAAATTTCTTTGGATCAATCACATTATATAGAAAATATCCTAAAAAAATATGATTACTTTGACAGTAAACCTGTGAGCACACCATACGATCCAAACGTGAAAATTTTTAAGAACACTAGTGAAAGTGTTAGGCAAACAGAATATGTGAGCATCATTGGAAGTCTTGGGTATTTCATTGATTGTACCATAATCGACATTGCATATGTCGTGGGATTTTTGTGCAGGTTTACTAGTAGACCGAGTAATAAATATTAACAAGTTATTGAGCGGGTCATGCGGTACCTTAAAAGGATCATGAATATCGGTATACGTTATCAGAGATTTCCTATTGTACATGAAGAATACAATGATGCAGATTGTAATACCTTATAAGATTATTCCAAAGCAATTAGTGGCTATATATTCCATAGCTAGAGGAGTTGTATCTTGGAAATCAAAGAAACAGACTATAAATTTTCATTAGCGACTGCTAATGAAAAATCAAGTTGGTTAAGATGCTTGTTAACTGATATTTCCTTATGGAAAAAACCTATGACAGTTGTGTTGATCGACTGCGATAGTACCGTAGCTATTGGAAAAATCGAGAACCGTTATTATAATGGTAGAAGATGTCAAATAAGAAGAAAGCACAACATTGTTAGAGATTATATCTCTAAAGGAGCTGTAAGAGTGGATCATGTACGCACTGGTGAAAATTTAGAAGATCCTTTGACGAAAGGATTAGCTAGAGAGAAAGTATATAATATATCATATAAGATGAGACTAATGCCTATAGGAATATGATTTTCTCATGATGGTAACCCGACCTAAATGATTGAAGATCCCAAGAAATAGATTTAATGGGTAATAACAAGTTATGAGTAATATAAGATTATCATGCAAGTGAAGCATGAATCATGAAGTAATAAGAGGATAATATAATAGAAGCTCTTAATTAGATATATATACTTTGTATGAGGGAGTACCTAGGCTACAAGAGTACTCTTGATAGACTCACATTTGTGATTGTGAAACTTGGGTCGGTTCCTATGAAATTTCGAGACAGAATTCCTCGAGCCTTCACTAAACCGGGATACACGTGGAAGACCATAAAAGCATGGTCTATTAGAATACGCCTTAAGAAAAGGTTGTGTGCAGGTATGATGACTGAGATAGAGTTCAAGACATTTGTGTCACTCTTGTTGAATCAGAACCATACTTGCTACGCAAAGGTTCAAATTGTAGACACATTTATTTATGCACAATCTTAAAAACGTTTGACGTTACTTCTAAAATCACTTATTTAAATTCAAGTGGGGGTTTGTTGGAACATGTCCTTGTTCCAATATCTTGAATTTAAAATTTTCTTAAGTCTCACATTGTTAGAATTTTTTGTGTGGTTGAAATAACCATTTAGTCACACGTTGCTCATGTGAGAAATATTAACTAGCTTACTTTATTATATAAGGAAATCACTTATTTCATTTCAAAACACACCAAAAATTATTCTTTATTTTTTCCTTCCTCACTCTCATAACTGCGTCTTTCGAATTGTCAAAGTGTTAACTTCTTCTCCTTTCTTTCTACTCAATGAATTTTCTGAGTACTTTCTTGAATTCTCTTTTGATAATAATGATGATTTCTCCTCATTTGAGTTAATAAAATATCAAGTATGATTTTTGAATTCTCTTTAGAGAATTATTCGAATTTCTCTTTGTTCGAGAAACCATTTTGAGTGGTCAAATGACCATTGGTGAATTCTCTTTGGAAAATTGTTGAAATTTCTCTTGGTTTAAGAAATTTTTACGACTGATTGTTATACCAGATACTACACTGGTGTTTATACCATATAAGAATGGCCTTAGTACAATCAAATGGTATATTTTTAGAATAATCATCTATCGTGCAAGTAGTAATCGTACAATATAGAACTGGGTTATTTTATCCTAGAGGCGGTATGGTAGTTCGACTGATTTGCATACTTTTGAGTAGTACCACGAAACGTCTTAAAAAGAGTAAACCAATTCGCGACTCAACCCGGTGATTTCTTTAGTGGAAAAATTTTCAAAACCGTGAACCAACAAAACTTTAATTGATATGTAAATTTGGTGTCACTGCATTCAAAACCTTGCAAAAAAGGATAGTGGTCTGAGTTAGTTTTGACAAGGGTAGAGCAAGAGGTTTTGGTACAGGCATCAATCCATTTGTGATTACAAATGAACCTATCTATTTTTTTGTTTAGTGTTAGCTATTTCTATCATACCATTATTCCAAGTCAATTTAGGTCCTGTGATGGGAAGGTGAAGGAGATGGTTAGAGTATGACCTGTTAGAAAGGCCTTCCATGGGAGTTTTAGCCGGTTGGTGAGATCCTGAGCATTCCTGAGCCATACCAAATATTTTATCTTAAGTTTTTGAGATTTCCTTCTCCTCCCTAGTTTGATGGATGATAACATTTGCTTTGGTGCCACTTGGTTCTCCCATATGAATCACAACCTGGGGTTAAACCTGAGGTTGAGTCTCATACACAACCATTGCAGCTTTACCTTACTCCTTGGTAGCATCATCTTGGCCATGATCTTTGCTTTCAACTTTGTAAACTATTTTGTTTTCTTTCTTCTTCTTATCATTCTCCACATGAGGGATGTCTTCAAATTTTCTTCTCTTGCAGACTTTCAAGATATGTCCCACCATGTTGCACATGGAACAAAAGTTTGATAGGTTCTCATACTCTAGCTCTACAAAGAACTCATATCCTTGTCTTTCAACTAACATTTTGTACCTTAGCTCCTTGGTCAATTCCATGCCCACTAAGACTCTCACAAAATGACCAAAAGGCCTCTCAAAGCTTCTGTTGCTAGTTATAGAATTGGTGCATATAGGTGTTTTGATACTTATGGAAAAGACTATTTTAGGTCTCCAACACTCTTGAGTCAAACCTTGAATTCACACTCATACCTAAGTCGAGGTTTGCTTTAGATGACTGAGCTTGAAACCTTTGCTCTATGGAAAAAGCTTGAGGAAATCAGGGTTAGTGTTCCATGTGTTTTGACATCTTCCAAAGAGGAACGTGTGAGTTCAGTAGACCTTTTTCCTAAGACGTGATACCTCATTTTTCTATAGACTTTCAAAGCACTAATAATTTAATTTTCAAAGAGGCAATTGTGAAAGGCGTTGAACCCTTAGGTCATACTACCCGACCGTGTAAGTTATGTTTACAAGCTTCTACTCTCGGAAATAACAATCGCAAATTTTCCCCTATAATGTTGGAAGTTGATTTAGTAGAATGTTGTTGACATATGTCTAAGAATAGTCAGCATATAATTATTATAGAAGAAAACTTAAATACAATTTCTTAGATGTGATTTTTAATATTTTCCAATAAAAAATATGACAGATTTTAAAAGTCAAAATATGAGAAATTTACACATGTATAAGAAAATTATACACTTGTTATATTTTTATTAGAAAATAATAAAAATCATTCCTAAACTGTATATGTATTTTCTCCATTATTATCCTAATAACCTTGTACATAAATTAAATATATAAGCACCTATAAGACCGTATAGTCAATATTTTATTAGAAGTTTCTATTATAAAAAATTATGAAACCCATTTGATAATGTGTCGTATTTTTAATATTTTTAAAACTCATTAAATTGACAATTAATCAAATATAAATAAAGAACTCAATTGTAAAAACAGTAATTCTATAATAATTGATCTGTTTCAGTTTTGTATGTAAATATTAGTTTTTTTTTTTCATTCATACTCTAATTTACTTAACCAAAATAAAGTTTGTTCAAAGTTCAGATTTTGAGCAGAAGCTGCACATAGATTTGCCTAGTAGTACACTCACATTATACAAAACGAATTGTTAACATATTGCTGCTTTCATTTTACCAAGTTAAGAGGCAGAGTAGAATGAATTGTAACATTTGAGTAATCAAAAATTATGAAGAACATCCTGGATAATTTGTAGGGCATGTATCTAAAACTTACCCTTCTCCCAAAAATGATTTAACATTAGATAAATTACCTCAACAGTCAATGGGAAAAGAACTAGAAAGAAAAAGCCTATAACAAAAACTCATTACAAGGTGTATCTCTGCAAATTGGTTCATAAGTTAAACGCCACTTGTCCGTGTCTGACCTAGTCAGCACTGCACCCACCCACTGTCAGTCCTCATCACATCTCTTCAACTACTTAGACGTCTTTCTTCTTTTCTAAATTAGATACAGCAACCTGTTGTCGCCTCTTCCAAGCTGGGACTTTACCCGGAAAAGCCCACCTTAACAGTCTCTCCCATGAGTAGCATATGAAAAACATCAGAAAAGCCCAAATCAACAGTTTATTCCTCAAACCCACTGGCAATGGCACCAACTTCAACCAGTCATTCAAATCCCTGAAGAGATCGGATGTAATCACAGTAAAGAAACAAACAGCAGCAAAGAGGGCATAACGGAAAGGCCTGTTTTCAGAAATACTTTGGTTGAAGGGATGTCCCATGTAGTTTACGGCAAATGTGGCCACCTGGAGCATCATGCTCACCATGTAGGAAACAGTATTAACCAAGTTGGGATGAAAACTTGCATCTGGTTCGATACATTCTTCTGGCATGTATCTTTCGGCTTCTTTGACAGATGCCATAAGAAAAAACAGGTGAACAGAAAATTGTCCCAAGAGGGAAAGCAAGACATAAGCACAGAAGATGTTGGGGTGGGGACGTTCAGCTGAAAGAGTGGGAAGAGGGCGTGCATGTGAAATAAAGAGGAAGAATGCAGCAGTGAAGACACCACTTATTGTAGCTTGTACATCACCTAGCTTGACACCATCCAGATACATAACACTCAAGACATATGCAGTAGCAAGACAATTGAGGCCCAGAATTTTAAACATTTGAAGGGTTGTCACTAGGGTACTCCGACCTTGTCGAATTATATCAGTGGTGGGAGAAACAGATGCATGCTTAGCAGTAAACGGGGAAGCCATTGAGGCATCACCAAGCTTGACAATGGGTGCACGCCCATCTCCTTCTTCATTGAGCTCATCCATCATCTTCTTAAGCTTCTGTCTTTGCATATCAACGGCTGTTTGATGACGGTTACCAGCTGAATGGCTAGTGGAGTCTGATTTAGAAGCACCTTTGGCTTTTGAAGTGCCTTCTCCACTTGGGCTAATACTCTTTCCAGATGTTTCACCTGCAGGCTTGGATTTCTTTTGCTTAGCAGGTTTTGAACTGTCTTCAGCTGCTGAATCTGAAGAGGAGTTTCCACCTTTAGCTGGCGGCATTGCATTCAGAAGAGCAACTCCTACATGAGCCTAAATCAGAGAAGTTAGTCTCTAGTCCTGCAGCCTATACTCTAGGTAAAATAGACACAATTTACAGAACAAAGGAAAAATAGAGACAAATTGTCACCAGTACCACAGATTAAATATCTGTCCCAATAGAAACAAGATTCAAGTTCCTTTTAAGTAAAAAACATAAAAACTCTATGGAGAATCACATGACTATAAACAAACAAAAAAATGCTGTAAATAAGGATATCATAAAGGTTCCTTAGTATGGTGGCTTTTTGGTGAGTATAAAACTCGTAACTTGTAAGCAGATTAAAATTATTTATTTTTCGAACATACTGTCCTATCAATTATTAACATGATTTCATAAACACTAGATACCTGCTTCAAAGCTCCAACATCATTGGTTCCATCTCCACACATCAATGTTACACGTCCCACTGTTTTGAAAGTGGTCAAGATAAGTTCCTTTTGCTCAGGAGCAACTCTAGCAAAAACCTGACACCGAAGTTACTGTTATTGATGAGTGCAATTCAAAAAGCCCAGTTCTAATTTTTAGTTTAAGCATCAATGAGAACCTTCACATAAGGAATGACCAGAAGATGAGCTGATGTTTGTTGCAACATCTCAAAGCAATCACCTCCAACACATAGATCATGAGACTCTGACAAATTTTCTACCTCTTCCTTACTGAAACAAAGTATACCTATGATCAGTCTCAAAACATAAGGAAAAAAATAACAAACAGAAACAGCCAGCAGAAAAGAGTTCAGAAGCATCTGGGAGTAGGAACATCATCACAAAATCAGACACTCAGCAACAACTTTTCAAAGTGAAAGAGAACAAGTAAAGAAACAACAACTTTTCAAAGTGAAAGAGAACAAGTAAAGAAACAACAACATATATAAGAATATAAGATAGCACAGCCAGATAAAACAAAATAAAATTACCTGTATCGAATGTTTTCATTCTCATCGGGAGACACCCAACTATATCCTTCACCATTACTTGATGGACTGAGAATTAATGTTGGTTTTGATATAATATGAACTTGGCTAGCGACATGACAAGCTGTCAAAGCTTGGTCACCAGTAATCATCACCTATCAATTTAGCCCAAAAAGATGTTTGTCAATTAGTTGTTTTTAATAGTAAAAGTAAAACAAGGACGGTTTGCAATTAACATAAATCAAAGTCTGGAATCACATTCCCACGAATTCTATTCCCAGAAATATTATTCTAAAATACAACCTACAAGTATGTATGGTAATTAATCAAAAACAGCAAAATATGGTAGAATATGGTGAAAATGGGAGATTAGAGTTGGTTAGATTTTAAATGATTTCTATTTTATGGGAATCTACTATTCCCGTCCTTTATGATGGGAATAAAAAGCGAGAAAACACGAGCAAAAGATATTTACAGAAATTCATAATGCCCAAAAATATAATTTTTTAAACCTGAACACATATGGAAATATAACTTAACAGCTGTAATAATATCTAAAGACAGCACAAAGTAGTTGTACAAAAAGTATGTCTCAACAATAGGGATGTCAACAGAGCAGGGAATGTTCGGAGGATGCTTACCCGATCCCCGCCCTCCAATATTTTCCCCATCCTCATCCCCGATCCCCGCCACGGGGAATATTTTCCTCCATCCCCATCCCCACAGAGAATCGGAGATCCACGGAGATCGAATGTTAAAAAAAAATTCTCTACTTTCCAATCAAAACTAGGACATTAGTATTTTGTTATTTTTTTGTCTTTTTTGACATATATTTTGCATCTTTATTTTTTTAAAAACAAAAACACATCTTACATCAATAACTTAAAAAAATACAAACGCACTTGTTGTTACAAAAACATAACCACTAATTTACTAAATGAAAGAAAAATAGGTTACTAATTGAATTATAATGAAGTTGAAGAGTAATTACCATAAACATAATGAACAAAAGAGAATGGTTATTGTGAAGATGATAAGAACAGGGGATATCAGGAATGGAGGAGGAGACAATGAGAATTGAGAGGAGAAGAAGAGAAGGCGGTGTGTACAATGTATGTAATGGGTGCACTTTTCTAGGATTGGGTACTTGGGAAGTGAAACAATATATTATACAATGAAACAAAAAAGTAAAATGATCCAATGATGAATTTGCATTTCCTAATATATGAAGTACCTTTTTATAAAAAAACATGCAAAATTATATAATTATATATAAAATTTAAATAATATAATCGGGGTCAGGGAATCCGCGGGGCGGAAGGTACTTCCCCGATATCCGTCCTAAAGTGTCACCGGGGAACATCCCCACGGGGGAAAAAATCCCCGACTTCGAAGCTCCAAACAGATAATCCCCACGAGAATCCCCATTAACATATGCAAATTGACATTCCTAAATGTGCACCATACAGCAAAAAATATATAAACAATATAACTGAAGTGCTTAAACAACAGCAAAAATAATAACAATAATAACCAAATCTTCTCCCACTTAGATGAGAATGGCTGCATGAACTAACAATGTCATAAGGCGTGCTATCTCAAAGGTAACTCATTTGCTTCTTGTTTTAAAACTTGGACCGGTCAGTGGCCGAACCACTGAGTCACTGTATAATCTTCTAACATGATTTTCATACATCATTTATTAAATATTTCCTTAAATTAAAATACACTGTAATGTATGGTAAAATCACTTTGATATAGCGGAATGCACTATTTGGTTAAACTACTGATAGTGGGTAAAATGTTTTTTTATACTGGACCTTTTAGTAAAATAAATAAACAAGACTAAAAAAAGGCCAACTCACAATACTGAACCCAACTCCTACTATGTTTTCATCACTTAGTAAAAACACAACCCAGAGGCCATAAGAAAATCACCAAGGTTTACTGTTCATTTCCCAACACTACCCAACCGCCCAAAGGCTGGAATATATAGCTAGTAAGATAAATTATTTTGCAATTTAAAAAGTTCTGTGGTTTGTTTGTTTTTATAAGGGAAGTCAATTTAAATGCACACTTACCAAGTCATGTGAAGATTCTTTTAACCCTGATAAAACATCAGCTGAATCTGATCTTATGGGACAGTTGAACACCTAAATACAACATAATTTCAACTTTTAGTATCAAGTCAATGAAGAGGGAAATTGTTTAGAATTTACGTAAGTTTCATGTAAGGAGGAAGAATATCAAAGTACCACAAAACCAGCAAAAGTAAGTCCACTTTCTACCATATCCCTATCCAAGCTTCTAGCTTCACTAACCTTCAAGCAGTTAACAAGTGATAAGTAACAGTCCAAACAAGCAAACATTGAAACTTCAAGTAATTTTATAATCCAATTCAATAAAAGGTAGGGGAGAAAAAAACCAAGCATTCTACAGCTGCAACAAATGCAAAAGAATGCAGTTCTAACTTCTACTTCTCTCAGTTACACTTGAATTTAGGGATTCAAGGTCATTGAAATGATACAAAAGGTAAATTAAATTGGCATGTCAAACAAACTATACAAAATTGTTAATAGATATCAGAGATGAAATAAAACAAATGGACATTGTTCCCAATCAACACAGTTTATTTACTCTGGATTTACGCTGATTATCATTCATCTTCCCCTTTGCATAATTTAAAATATATTATGGAGAAAGATTCATAAAGCACACAGTCAAACTCATAATATTCTTACTGTCATGTCTGGAAGAGATTTGTGAGCCAGAGCAAGAACACGAGACCCCTGGCGTGTAAATTTTTTGTAGGTCTCAACATACGATGGAGGCACATTAATGAGCCTATCTTGTATAATTTCTGGGGCCCCCTGAAATATAAGGTAAAGGAAAACTGCTAAGAGAGAATAAAAAAGGAATTACCACGGTAAATCTTAGGTTACCACTATTTAAAACACTCAATATGTATCCAAATGTGCACTGCTGATCAATAACAAATATAAAACACGATAAAAAAAAATAAAGAAAACAAATAGAGTCAGAATTTGAAACTCTGGAATCAGTGTGTACAGGGCACAACAGCTATGAAACTGCATGACTGCAACTGCCAAATTTGTATAAATGATTTTTGTTATACATTTTTCTGACTACTATAACTGTATTACCCCTCCACAAATTTAAATAATAATTAAAAATATCAGATCCAATTCTCAAAATCTTCCCTGCAATTTCTAAATTTTTCTCAGATTATCCACCACTTACCTTCATTTTCTCTTCTGTTGTTTTTCAACAAATTAACATAAAATATTCTACTTCTGGATTCTTTAATGACTAATTACTTACCGACATCAGACATGGATATTCTACGCTGTTTATTTTCATTACCAGCATGGACTTATATTTGTTGACCATTCCATATTCTCATAAATAAAAGCTATCACATGGTGTTATTTCTAAAAAATTTATACTTCTACTCATGAACAAGGAGAAAAAAACAAACCTTCACAAATGCAAAAAATTCCTCCTGAATACGAACAATAACTGCCATTCGTTTTAAGTGAGATGCAAAATGGTACCGCTGAACAATTTGGACAGGATGCCCGTTTCCCCTGAAATTTGAAAACATTCGAGACTCAAACTATAAAGCATTCAAACCATGGTTACCAAATCGAGACTCAAGTCTTAAATCAGCACACATTTTATGAATCGTGAACCAAATCTTATTATGAAAGATTCACGATCAATAAAAATATGACATTTTAAAGTAAAAACAAGTGCAAAGCAAAAATATATGTCGACATATCATATACGAATCTCTAAATAATTCAAGATTCAAGTCATAAATCAAATGACAAGGGAAAAGTGGCAAGATATATGATCAATAAAAATATAACATTTTAAAGTAAAAACAAGTGACATAGCAATAATATATGTTGACAATCATATAAGTTCAGTTTATGATGCATTAAAGAATTAGAATTCATCGTAGTGAATCATACTCATCATAATGAATCACAATTCAAGATGAAATTCATGTCCAAAATAGATAACAAGAGATTCATATAGATTTGGTTCAGTTTTATATGGAGTTGAGATACAAATTGCACGCATCGTTACTCAAAAGATATTGATAACTACTATTCAAACTACAACGAGATAGCTATGAAGGCAATATCCAACCCCCAAAACGCTAGGGCGGTTTAGTGGGCACCAATATGGTATTGCCGCTGCGTCGAAATTTAGGGAAACCAAATGCGCAATTTATCATTTAAAAAGAAATTTAAACCATACACATAAAAGCTCATAAATAGAAGAACGTGCAAAATTAAAGACGTGCTCGCAACTAATAATTAAAATTCATTGTTACCAGTATTCAAACCGAATATAAAAGAAATATATTGAGTTTCCAAGGCTTAAAATAACTCCTCTAAGCATTAAAAATAAATACATACAGGTGATTCCTCAAATGGAATCACAATATCCCAGCTATTCCTCATCATCTTAAGCACTATCTTTACTACTAGACCTTTACTTCTTCCTCCTCCTCCTCCTCCTCCTCCTCCGTCCCAACGGTTTGTGCCTCTATAGGGAAAGCTTGGTTTCTAATTCTTTCAGGACAAAGGAGAAAAGCTTGCGTTTGGTTGTTCGAGGAGAAGAAAACAAATGAAGGTATACCTGATTTTTAGGGCCATATTGAGGGCACAATTGGGGTTTTGCAGTTGGGCTTCTATGTAGTGGCTGTTGTATTTGCATTGCTACGGCCACTACTCAATTAAAAAGCTACAGGAATTGGTGTAGCACCTATGAGTCACTACACTACTCAACAGCGCTATAGCCGCCACTATTGACTACAAATAGACATACATACACATATATATAGTAACATGTCCCCGTTAGTCAAATATTATTTGTTTTTTCATTATATTTTCTAGCTTTGGCAACAGTAACACTGGAATGTAAACAGTTCGTTGACAGTGATGGGCGACAAACATTAAATGAGCTCAAATACCAAAAAAATTATCATAAATAAATGAATTTTTGCTTCATTGGAATAAATGGATAAGACACGCAGAATTAATATACTTAAGCAGCAAAATATTCACCTTTTAGGAACAGCCTTCTCATCAGATTTATAACTCCAATCGATTCCCTTGAGTGCGGCCTTCTCGAGAGGATCGCCAACCTGTGGGATATTAAGCAATATATAATAACATAGTATCAACAAATAACAGCTAAGATAAAAGGGGAAAATCTAATTCATTTTAAGCTCTCAAGCGCCATAATCATGAAGACCTATAGCTCATCAAGCAATACACAATGAAAAATACTTGTAACCAAGAAAAGTAGAACTTAAGAATGACAACGAAATGTGTAAAGAAAGGGTAAAAAGATTATTTTTCCAATCCCTGGAAAATTGATTTAGCATGACTTCTGAAGAAAGCAACTTCTGGTCTTATATCAATAGATAAGAAATGTGGTGACAAGGGCATCAGTCTTGGCTTAAAAAAGCAGTTCCAAAAACATCATACAGTAATTTAGAATATCTTGGATTATATCTTTAGGATTGATTCCTACGTTTACTTATCTTTCATGATTATTTTTCTTATATAATTTGGTTTAGAATAAATAGGGATAAGGATTGCATAGAGCTTGTTTGGATACAGGTCACACTACCGCAAGTGTTTCAAAGAGCAATAATAATTTTAAAACTAGAGTGGTATTCGTGTTATTAATTTATAGCTTTTACCAGAAGAGCTTATGAGCAAGTAACATCCAAACACATTAACCAAGCAGCTAAGCAGCTGTTCACGTCAAACCTCTAGGAAAAGCTCTTATCATATAAGCTCTTCTAGATAAGCTTGCTAAAACAAGACCAGCTCTTCTAGATAAGCTTGCTAAAACAAGACCTAGGTCTTTCGTACCGAAATCACAAATCAATATTGTCATACTTTGCCTTCTCTCTTTTCTTATTTAAAACCTAATCATTTGAACATGTATTACAGTGGTATCATCTGCAGTGAGCCGTTTTGCCACTATTCCCATCCTGAGCTCCTTAAAATATGAAATTATGTTGTGACAACAACATTATCTCCATAACTCCCAAGGGTTGGCCTGGTGGTGAAGGCTTGGGACCTAGGAGTGTACTCCTCTCTAGGTATCGAGTTTAAATCCCTTAGGTGCCAACAATTCTTGAGTTGGGCCAGTCCCGGATTAGTCTGTTCTTGGGCCGGATACCAAGTTTTTAAAATAAAATCATTATCTCCATTATTTTTCCCCGTTGTATGAGCGTTCACAAATTCCAGACATCTTTTCTCTCAGCTTCTCAGCTTGTTATTTATTTTTCCTGTCTGCCTCTTCCACAACCTGTCTCAAAAGTCTTAAATAAGTTCAGCTTAATATTATGTCATTTCAACAATCTTTGGTCATCCCAGGTGAAGTTTAACCCCCAAAATTACTGACTAAATGATGAATTAGTTGTGACTCATACCAACCTCCAAAAGTGAATCATACTAATAGTGATTCCGCCTATCTCACTGACGAGACATACGTAAAGAATTATCCATGCCTGTGAATCTATGATGCACACTATTCACAATCACTGTTTATTTTTTATTTTGTTTTTTTGTATTTCAATTTTTCGTTTAGTTTTTGGTGGATTTTTTGCTTGCTAAAAAATTTCAGCTACTGATCATTACAACAAATCTCCTTCCTTTGTTGTGT